ATGCCTGCAGACGCAGCAGGAGAGGGGTGCATGAGGCGGGGCTGGGGGCTGGGGGCCGGGGCCCGGGAAGGGATGGTGGGCACCTCCTGTGGCCCCGCACCTCGCACTTGTGGATGACGGAGCCATAGGCCTTGGACTCAGTGCGGTCGCCGTAGGTGCCTGAGCGCAGGCTCCGGGCTTCGGGGCCAAGCTCCTGTCCGGAATCTGTGCCCGCCGACTCTTCGTTCTCTTCAGCAGCCTCTCCGTTTTCCAGCTGCAGCCCCTCCTCCTTAATCACGGCAGGCCCCACGCCCTCTGCCTCTCGCTCTTCTCCCTTCCTGGCAGGTTCCACCTCCATTTCTGCAAGGAGAAGGGCAGGCGCTGAAGCAGCTGGGAAACCAAGGGGCCTCCAAAAGGAAATGAGCTCAAAGCGCCTCGCAGGTCAGGCCTGGGTCTGTCTGTACACGGCCCTTCCCCTGTGTCAGCACCTAGCAGGGGCCTGGGCAAGTTGCAGGAGCACTGAGTGACCGGTCACAGCATGGGACAGGGTCTGTGTCCTGGGTGCTTGCTACCTGGGAGATGCAGGTGTGGGGCCTCTGTCAGCCGGGGCTGGGCACTGCCGGCCAGCATGCCCCTGAGATGGGGCAGCAGGACACACCTGCAAGATGCTCTGAGCTGAGAGAGGACAGGATGTGTCAGGACAGCATCTGTGCTGATGGAAATAAGGCCAGAGCGGACCAAGAAACAGATCTCAAGATTCAAGAACGAGGGACCAGCAGTTGGCGTAATGGCTGTGTTCCTGGACTCCCATATAGCCGACCGTAGTTCGAGTCCCAGACCCAGTGGCTTAAACTCATGCCAGGCGCATGTGCATGTGTGCCCAAGATCCCGAGAGGAAAATGGAGGAGAAGGGATTGCAGTGTGACCATCCCCCCTGGGGGGTGATTTCTCACTTTCTGTCTCTCTGTCTCTGTCTTTGGTGAGCACACCTGCCCTATAACAAAAACTTCTCCAAAAAAAAAAGATTCAAGAACAAGAAGAGACATTGGTCCATAAGATGAATGGAAAGGCAGCTGCGAGTGGGATCAGCTGGAGGAAGAGTACAAGGTCCAAGTGGGCCTCTGGGAGGACGCATGAGGGTCCAGGCCTGGCCGGGTGGACGGGGTACCTTGCTCTGAGCTCTCCGACAAGGCAGCCTCAGCTTCTGCAGCAGCCATGCCACTCGTGGGGTCCGGCTTGAGCTCCACAGGCAGTGGTTCCCGGGGGGCATCAGCCTTCTCCGTCTGCTCTGCTCCTGGGGTGGGAGGGGGTGCACCAGAGGCTGAATGGGGACCCTCTTTCCAGGGGCTGGACCACTGTGCTGGACCAGGCCCCTGGTGGTTACTGGCCAGGAGAGGAGGCCCAGCACATTCCAGCTCAGGCTGCAGGAGTCTCTGCTCTAGCTGGAACAGAACCCAGAACAAATAATGGTCTTTCTGGGTGAAGTGAGCTCAAGAAGTGCAGGCGCCCAGGCCACCTGCCTCCTGAGGCAGCGCCTCTCTAGTCCAGGCACAGGCTGCTGCCAGGCAGTGGGCCAGGCACTCTGACTTCCTGCAGCCACGCCGCCCCCCAGGGCAGGACCAAAAGGTCCTCAGCACCGTGACTCACCGCTGGCTGCACTCTCGGCCTGGCCACCTCGCTCCTCTTTGAGCTCCCTGCCTGGGCCCGTGGGTGTGCTGCTCCCCGCCTGATCCGGCCTGCTCAGCGTGGTAGTGGCAGTCTTCTCCTCTTTGGCTCTTTTGTCCCCTCCTGGAGAGGGAACAGGACAGACCTGCCATTTCCCATCAAGTGCCCACTGTGTGCAGGGCTGTGTGCCCAGAACTTGCTAGCTGTCTGGATCCTCCATGGGGCAACACCTAAGCAGTGGTCTGCTGGTGTGCTCATGCACCAAATCATGCACAGGGCACCTGCTCCATGCCCCCCGTTTCTATAGGACACTCAGGCTGCTCACGGAGAACGGCCTCGCATGGGCAGTAAGGAGGCTGGTCAGAGGTCAGTGCATGGGAGGAGAGACGCAGGCCCTCAGAGAGTGCACAGCAGGACTGCAGCCCACCGTGGTGCCTGGGGCTAGAAGGGCAGGGGAGTGGAAGGAAGGGCTCTGGGAAGAGTGCCGCGTGCAGGAGGGCTAGGCGCCGACCTGGCACAGTTCTCCCTCTTCTCTGGTGACAGGCAGGACAGACTTTCCTGTGGCTAGCCCTCACCAGCACCCCACAACAGAGGCAGGCCAGATGAGGAGACTGAGACCCAGAGAGCTGACCCAGAGTCCCAGGCAGAGCCCTCATCAAGGCAGGGGTCTCTGGCCACCTGCTCAGAAATAGCCTGCCAGTCATCTTACCTTCCACCGCTGAGGCCTCGGTATTGTCCCCAGGGCTGGCAGCAGGCTCAGCGAGTGACTTGAGGGTGTGGCAGGCTGTGATAATGTCCTGCATCTGGAGGAAGCTGGCCACGGCCAGGACATCGTCCACGTTCTCAGGGCTCAGACTCAGCTTGGCCGTGTACATAAACTCCAGCACCTGCCCCAGGCCTGCCGTGGACAGGACAGCCATCACAGACCCACCTCAGGGCCTGGCACCAGCAGTCTGCCCAGCTACGCCATGCAGTGGCAGGAAACAGTTGCAAAAGCTGCATGGCAAGCCTTCCTCTCCCCTTTGCCTGTGCTGGGCAAAAGAGGGCAACCCGGGCATTCTCAGCCACTAACAGCTTTGAGAAGAAGTGCACCCAGAAAACAGGGTATGTGCACGCACTGAGGACGGGGAGTGGGTGTCTGTCCGCACTGATGGGGGGTGGGCATCTGTCCACACTGAGGACAGGGGGTGGGCGTGGGCACCTGTCCGCACTGAGGACGGGGGTGGGCATCTGTCTGCATTGAGGACGGGGGACAGCTTTGAGAAGAAGTGCACCCAGAAAACAGGGTATGTGCACGCACTGAGGACGGGGAGTGGGTGTCTGTCCGCACTGATGGGGGGTGGGCATCTGTCCACACTGAGGACAGGGGGTGGGCGTGGGCACCTGTCCGCACTGAGGACGGGGGTGGGCATCTGTCTGCACTGAGGACGGGGGAGGGCGTCTGTCTGCACTGAGGACGGGGAATGGGTGTGGGCATCTGTCCACACTGAGGACGGGGGGTGGATGTCTGTCCGCACTGAGGACGGGGGGTGGGCGTCTGTCCACCCTGACTGGGGGTGAGCATCTGTCCACCCTGACTGGGGGTGGGCGTCTGTCCGCAATGAGGACGGGGTGTGGGCGCCTGTCCACACTGAGGACGGGGTGTGGGCTCCCTCCCTGCACTGAGGACAGGGTGTGGGCGTCTGTCAGCACTGAGGACGGGGGGTGGTGCCCGCCCTACACTGAGGACAGGGTGCAGGCACCTGCCTGGCCCACCCTCTACTGGCCACTGCACCTTACCACTGGAGGACATACCCACCCGACTGTGTCAGCACTGGCTTGTATGAGGGCTCTGCCACCCACCTGGTCCTCCAGGCCAGTCTCTTTGGGCCTCAGTTTCCACATATAAAAGGGGAGGACATCACCCTGCCTGACTTCACAGCACGCCCTGCCATTCAGGGTTGGGAGCCTAAATCCAGCACCAGCTCCTGCTCAATCCCAAGGCCGTCCTGGCGCTCCTTCCAGCCTGGCATCCCCGTCAGCGCTCCCCGCACTCCTGGTCCGGGCTGGGACAGGGCCTTTTGGACCGACTTGGCGTGGAAAGGGGCCGCTTTACTCTGTCCCTGTTTTGTGGTGGTCCCTAGAGCTTAGGAGCCCTTCCTGCCAGTCCCCCTCTTACCACTGCATTCCCAGTAGGAACGGGGACCGTACACACTCATGGCGGAGGCTGTGTGGGAGGACTGGCACAGCCCACACTGCAGCGGCTGCCCCAGGTGGGCGGCAGCTACGTGTCAGGCTCGGCATGGCACAGCGCCGGCCACAGCTTCCTGCCCTCGACTCGCTCAGTCTGGCCCTGTCCCCGGAGGGGTACCTGCCGCATTACTGATGTCCAGGTGCACCACGTCCTTCTGGTCCACGAAGAGCATCTTGAAGTACTCGCTGCAGGCCGCCAACACCGCTTTGTGGGCCTTAAAGTCCACACCGTCCACCACGAAGGTGCAGTCACACAAAAGCCCCAGCTGCCGCTGCTGGTTCAGCTGCTCCAGGACGTGCCGGCTGTGCTGGGGGAAATCCATGGCTGCAGAGAGGCAAAGGGCCTTCGTGTCACACAGGGACAGGACGCTAGCCAGTCTCAACAGCCACCCCTAACTCCTGGGGAGAGAGGTGGAGGAGCCACAGAACATGAAACCAGGTACAGGCATGTTGGCCACAGAAGGGCAATTACTCCAGAGACCTGCGGCAAGCCTGGACTTAAGTGGCTTCTAGGTTTACTGGCCAGGAAATGGTCCCAAACCAAAAAGCATCAAGAGATGGCCACAAAACAGCCACTTTTGTACCTCATCCAGTAATGACATTTAAAACGCTGGGGGCCAGCCCCTTAGTGCAGCAGTTAAGCCCAGTGCATTGGGAGCTGGATCCTACATGGCTGACAGCAGTTCAAATCCCAGCCTCAGAGGCTTGAAAAACATGCCAGGCACACATGTATGTGTGCGTGTGAGCCCAGTGTCTTGATGGGATGGAGAAAAGAAGGGAAAAGGACCGCAGTGTGGCCGTACTCCACTGGGGGATTCCTTCTCTTTCTTTTCTTTTCTTTTTTTTTTTTTTTTAGAGGTTTTTGCTATAGGGCGCATGCACTTGCCAGAAAGAGAGAGACAGAGAGACAGAAAGTGAGAAATCACCCCCCAGGGGGGATGGCCACACCACAATCCCTTCTCCTCCATTCTCCTCTCAGGATCTTGGGCACACACGCACACACGCCTGGCGTGAATTTAAGCCACCGGGTCTGGGACTCGAACCGCGGTCGACTACATGGGAGTCCAGTGACATAGCTATTACGCCAACTGCTGGTCCCTTCTCTTTCTTGTGAGTATGTGTACCCTTCGGGCAGGGGGGTGTTAAAAAAGAAAACAAGCGCCAGTTACCATCAGTACTTCCAAAAAGAAGACACGTTCAGTTTGTATTTCATAAAGAACAGAAGGCCTGGTACAGCCTTAGAACGAAGGATGAGTATTTCAGTCGGACACAGCTGGCTTTAAGAAAACCTTTATATTGTGTGTCTGTCTGTCTGTCTCATCCTGCCATGGAACGGGAGACAAGCAGGTGTTTCTTCACCGAGTTCAGTCCCTCTCCTGCCCCACAAACCCAGGCCCAGGGCCAGATGTCTCTCTCCCTGACTCATGGGCTCAAGGACCTATGTAAAGTCCTGGTGGGTGTCCCAAGAGAAACAGTGAACTCCAATCTTGATCCCAAGGGCTGCTTGCTTGGCCAAGTTTCTCTGCGAAGGGCCTCACTTAGTGCCTGGAAATTACTTGACTGTCTCAAGTGAAAATGCTCAGGAAAATTCCACCGTCTGGTGCCAACAACTCAGCCGCACCAACCCTAAGTATCTAAACCCCCCCCACCCCAGTCTCAAGATCAACAATTTTCCAGAGAAAAGGAGTAGACCCTCCTACCTAGAAAGAACCAATTTTGGAACATTTCAAAATAACCAACACCCACAGTCAGAAGCCACACGACAAATCCAACAGGGCAGGCTGCCACGCCCTGGTGAGGAACCTGAGGGGTGGCCGTGGGCTCCCTGCTCACTCCCCCGGAGCCGAGCTGGACCTCTGCTCTAAGCCTGGGTCTGTGCAGAGCAGCTCCGTGCTGCTTCTGGGCAGCTGACAGTGTCCCTCTTGGGATTGCTGCCCCAGATCTCCGCAGCCCCCCATCCCAGGCTCCTCTGCTGCTCCCTGTTACATCAGCCTCCTAAGGGTGAGTCACTCACTGGCTGCCACTCTGGAGACAGCCCGCAGACGCAGTGAACCTGTATGGCCGTCTG